TGGAGGCACCATCTCTCTCAATGCCTTGATTTTTTTGGGTTTGCTTCAATCCCACAATGGGTAACCATGAATCCCAGAAACTTCCCTGATGTGACCCCGAAAACACATCTAGTCGGGTTAAATCGTAAGTCGTATTGACGAAGGAGTTGGAAACACTCCTCCAGATGAGAAATGTGTTGAGATGCTTATAGGCTTTTTACTAACATGTCATCGACATAAACCTCCATTGTACGCCCGAGAAGGTTTTTGAAGACCTTGTTCATGAGCCATTGATAAGTTGCACCAGCATTTTTAACCCGAATGTCATAACATAATAATAATATAAGCCCTTGTCTGTTTGAAAAAAGGTGGTCTCCTCGTCCATTAAGTTCATCTTTATTTGATTGTATCATGAGTATGCATCCATAAAGCTTAGCATTTGATGTCCAGACGTGGCATCGATGAGTTGATCTATGCTTGAGAGGGGAAAACTATCCTTCGGGCAAGCTTTGTTGAGATCTGTATAGTCGACATCTGTATAGTCGACACACATCGACACACATTCTCCATGAACCATTAACTTTTTCACCATGACGATATTAATTAGCCATGCAGGATGATGTACTTCTAGTATGAACTTTGCTTCAAGAAGCTCGTTGACTTTTTTTCAATAGCTTGTAAGAGATCTGGGGCAATATTACACTTCTTCTGGATGACCAGTTTAAAGGTCGGGTCTACCTTTAAAGAGTGCATGATTATTTCCGGGTTAATTCCAGATATGCCAGCCGGAGTCCATGCAAAAATGTCTTGGTTCCTTTGGAGAAGATCTACATACTCCGACCTTTGCTCATCAGAGAGTGGGGAACCAAGTTACATTGTTCTCGAGGGATGTTCGTCAGAGAGTGGGATTTGGACCAAGTCTTCCACGGGAGAAGCCCATTGAGATACATCTTCATCTCGTACATCTTCATCTCGAAGATCGAAGTTCTCAATGCTAAGTGTCATTGACGGGCGTGGCTGAGCGTATCTAAGGTAACATGATTGTGTTGTCTGTTGATCACCTTGCACTACGTCGATCCTTGTTGGGGTTGAAAACTTGATCTTTAAGTGTGTTACAGAAGTCACAATGTCAAAGAATGATTGCAGTGGTCTCCCGAAGTTAGAATTATATGCTGATTCTGATTTGACAACGATGAACTGAACTGAGTGGGTTATCTGTCGAGGAAAGTCTCCCAAGACAACAGGGAGATTTATTGTTCCCTCGGCCCTCACTGGTACTGGTCGATTCTCAAAACCATATAATGGTCCGGATGCAAGTTGAAGTCTTTTCCTGTCAATCCAAAACTGAGAAAAGTTGAATAAAACAAGACATCGACAGAGCTCCCATTGTCGATCAAGATCCATTTTACGTTATAACAGGGCTCTCCAATTCCTGCGTTAATGACGAAGGATCTTGGTGGGGGACTAGAACTCCTTCCAAGTCAGAATCATCAAAAGTGATAGGCTCGAGACGCAATTTCTCCAGCATTGGTTCACCAGGTATAGTGATAAAGACTTGATCATTCAGCAATGAGCCTCCTGCAATTATTTGAATTTATCCCATGACTGAGTGACTCTCATGTTGTTGCCCCCCAATATGAGCATTATCGCTACCGACTAGTTTGTTTTGTATTAATCAACCAAGATATCCCTGTTGAATCAACCTTTCAATTTCTTCCCTAAGGAGCTTACATGCCTCAGTGGTGTGGCCACGACTTCGATGAAAATGACAGTATTGTTCTTGATTTCCCAAATTAGGTTTTAGAGGGCGAGGCCACTTAACAGCTTGCTCATCTTTGATAGCCATCAAGATGTTTGCACGTGACGTGTTGAGTGGTGTATATTCTTTCTTGGGTCAATATTTAGTTTGTTGGCTAGCAGGTTGAATGAGGAGGTCACGATTCTTTAGTTATTCAGACTTTCTCCGTTGCGAAGATTGATTATTGTCTCTGGAGTTACTTTTACGCTTTCCCCCAAATTTCTCAAATTGTTCTTTATGTGCACTTATAGCCTTATCCGCAGTGATTTGGGACTCAACACGGTGGACAGGGTCAGCATAAGAACAAACTGTCTCCCATATCAGTGATGAGTAAAAAGGTCATGGGCAGAGCCCCCCAAGGAGGACCCCCTTTAGTAACTCAGGATCCAACCCAGTCTGACGGGCTTCAACAAAAAACCTGTAGAAGTAGTCCTTGAACGACTCTCCTTCATTTTGACGAATTCCCGAGAGATGGGATAAATCATTTATGATCATTAGATTTGCGATGAACTGCTCTGCGAACCGTTTGACAAGCTCGTTAAAGGTGTTTACAGTGCCCCCTAACAGAGAGTATAACCAGGTTCGAGCTTGTTCTTTAAGAGTAGTCGGAAACACTTGACACAAAAGCGCATCAGAGGCACGCTGAATGTGCATGATAGTTCGATAACGATCAATATACTCGTAAGGGTCGGTTGTCCTTTCATATGTATCGATGTTCGAAAGCTTAAAGCATGTTGGGATTGAATGTTGGAGGACATCATCCGCTAAGGGGATTCATGGATGTTACGGTGAGTGTAGAAGCGATCTTTTTTCTCTAAGAGGAACTCTTCCTGGACAAGGCGTCGTAGTTCGTTACGAATGACATTTTCCGGAATGACAGAAAGATGAGGCGATGTCGGGTGAGCTGCACGAGATGGATGAGTGAAATTTTCTGTATTTAGGAGTTCAACATCACGACCTGACAGGGAATGTGTTCCTTCTTAAAGAGGCGGGTCTATACGAGTTCCTCCAAGCGATATGTTTCTCGTACGTCGCAGAGTTAATGGTAAACAAATTTTATCCAATAGTGTAGGTGGAGGCTGTTGAGCCCCACGTAGGAGTTGTAAGATCTCTAGTTGAGACTCCTCTATTCTACACATTCGATCTTCTATTGAAGGACCCGAAACACCTTCGTTGGCGGGATATCATCTTCCAGGGCGAGAAGATGAATAAGCATGCCGCGCTTGGCTTCGTGACTACTCCCTAGAACGATGGGTGTTGGAGCGGGATGCTCCGTTGTCACGAACATTGTGTCTGGTTGTCATGTAGTAAACCGCGTAAGTACTTTAGTTGTGGGATTGAAAATTTCTCACAAACGGTGCCAAACTGATGCTTGCTAGAAAATTCATGGCGGTAGAGTAATGAATTATCGTCTTAGTGCTGCGAGAGGATTCAACACACACTCAGCTGAAAATGAATCAACCTGTGGTGACACCAGAAGTTTTTACGTGAAAAACCCGTAAAGGGAAAAAACCACGGGGCCTGACCCAATTATAAAAATCCACTATAATTCGACGATTACAGAAGCCCCTTATCCCACGGACGAGAAAGGGTTACTAGATTTTCCAAGATACAACGTCGATTGATGTCGTCTAGCTGACGGTGATCGACAGAGGTCGGCGGTGGTCGACGACAGTCAACGACGATCGATGACGATCGGTGGTCGACGAAGGTCGGCGGTGGTCGCAGACGGTGGGTGGTGGACAGAGGTCAACGATAATCAACGGTGGTCGACGGAGGACGGCGATGGTAGAAATGATGTTGGACTTGAACTCCTTCTCAAAGCCTCACATTTTTTCTAAAACCTCCTCTCTTCATGTGAGGAGTGAAGCTCTATTTATAGTGTTTTGAGTGCAATTAATGCAGTAATATAAATCATTTTAATCGGACAGTTCGTAAAGCTTCCCATGATCAGATGACGTTTGATAGACATTTGAGTATCTTAACGATATCAGAATTGAGTAATCTTGGGCTCGTTGGATTCCTCTTGTGGAGACGCTCGATTCGACTATGAACTCACTAGATTCGACATCCGTTTGACCTTTAAAATGCCTCCAAAAATTCTCAAAGAGTGGTTTAATGATTTGATCTGGACTTGATTTGACTCGGACTGAACTGACTTTTATATCATTAGGTTCGTCTTATCAAGCCGACCAGCTTGACTATAAGTTTGCTGAAATTGAAGCTATGGATGACTTTTAATTGAAGTTTGAATATTTCTTGCTCAAAATATTGTCTTGAGATTTATGTTGGATGATGATAATTTGTTGGTGGCGTATCAATTTTACTTTAAATAAGTAAATTATGAGAGAAAATTAGAATCATATCTCACTAGTTCAAGACATAGACTAGACTTATGATATTCGAATGACGCTGAGTTTGTTAATCTCAGGCATGCAAGTTAATTTTGTCAATCCGATAAATTCTTATGGAGCATTTGAAGGCTGGAGTTTAGCAAAAAGATGATTTATATTTAATATTTAATAGCATTAAACTGTTTGATAGGATTTAAGTTTAACTTTTTTTTTTTTTTTCCTTAGGATAAGTGCTTTAATTTGCCTTTCATTTGCTTTATTTTGTTCAAATCTTGTAAGATATGTATGATAGATGTCTGATTGAATCATTTAAATTATTTAACAATTTGTTTTATGGTTTAAATGTGTTAAAATATAAACGTAATATTATATAGTAATGATGTAATTATTTAATTTAATAAAATTTATTTTTTTCGAACAATGCTACTTAACAATTAATTACTCACTAAATTAACTAATTATTAATAAAAGTTTTTGTTAACATGACCATTCATCAAGCAATTGCTATACATCCATTAAATAAAAATTGATAAGTTAATTAATTAGAATTTAATTACGTTAATTACATTTAAATACATAATATAAATAACTTATAAAATAGTTAAATATAAAGGGTGTATAATTCAAATTAATTTAATAGCATTTTTATTAATTATAAATCAATTAAATTAATTTAAATTAACTTATTGACCTAATGAAACATTTACACTCAATACCACACATTTTTTATTTATTTACACTACAAAAATCTAAACTTTGATATTTACATTTATCACGTTTTAGCGATATAAATTTTTACATGAAAAATAAGAATTTTTATTTTTAAACTAATTTTAAACCTGCTTCTCTGTTCCCTTTCCTGGCCGAAACCCTCACCTCCCGTCTACGGGTTTCGTCCGAAACAACTGGAATTCTCCTCCTTCTGCGCTCCTACCCGAAACAAGTGAGCAAGTCAGCCCTCGTTTTTCTCCCCCTTCCTATCACCTCCCTTCGCGCTCTTCAGCTCCACTAAATCCCGTAAATCTGTCATCAAACGGGATTCACTAAATCCGGGCCGATTTAAGGCAAAACAGCGGATAAACGGGATTCAAGATCCTGTAGGATTTAAAGTTGTAATTTTTCTGCTGTTTGGCGGGGTTTAGGTTAAATCCTGCTACTAAACAGCCTCGGAGAGTGTATCGAGTCATCTGCTCATTTATTACTGTCACAGGCATCGCAAGCAAAAAGATAGCATGCCACCTGCGGCCATGGCGAACCATTGCAATCAGAAAGAGCAGGATGAAGAGGATGAAGACTTGAGCTTCGAGGAATTAGGTCTAGACCCGCGATTGATCCGAGCTCTATTTAAGAAGAGCATAACAAAACCGACCCCCATCCAACGCGAGTCCATCCCTTTGATCCTCGTCAGTTTTTCTATCTTTCCATGTAATGTAAAATAATTTTTGCAATGTTTTTCTTCTCCTTCATTGATTCTTTTGAGGTAAAAACCATCATAAATAGGAGGGCAAAGATGTTGTTGCACGGGCAAAGACCGGATCTGGAAAGACATTTGCTTATCTTCTTCCTCTTCTTCAGAAGCTTTTCTCCGAGATTGGCTGTCCAAAAAAGTCCGGATCCAGCGCTTTCATACTTTTGCCTACCCGGGAACTCTGTCGCCAGGTTCGCCGTGCTTGCTTGATGGTTTCGTGATTTAAACTCTTCTCCACTACGGATAATGCTTTAGTTCCTTGTTTAGGTTCATTCCGAAGCCAATTCTCTCCTGGAGTTATGCAGGGTCCAGTTGAAGGCTATGCAAATTTTGAGCGACATGTCTGCCGTGGACATGGCAAGTTTATCTATTTTTACTGTATGAGATTGGTAGTGTGAGGATTGTTAGGAATGCTACTTGCTCGAGCTGATATTGCATCTTCTTTGGATTTGAATCTGCTGTCACAGACTGTTGCACTATCAGGACCTCCAGAGTTAATTGTATCAACTCCGGCATGCGTTTCAACTTGCATTTCAAGAGGAATTATGCAGGCTTCGTGCATTAAGGATTCACTTTCGATGTTAATTTTGGACGAGGCATGCTTTCAATCTCTAATTTGATTGTTTAGGCTGTGTTTGAGATGCATATTATGTGCTAATTGTTTTAGCTCCAAATATTAGTTTTTGGTTTATTTTTTCCAAAGTTTAAGCATGGCGTATCACCCACACAGCAAGTTCATGAGTTGGAAGTTGCCTATTTTATCAAATTGAAGCTTTTCAACAATAACAACAACAACAAGCCTTTATCCGATTAAGTGGGGTCGGCTACATGAATCTTTTTTTCAAATTAAAGCTTTGATGTGGTTAATTTTCACTACATGAATCTTTTTTTTCAAATTAAAGCTTTGATGTGGTTAATTTTCAAAAGACTTATCTTTTCCATGCGGTTATACATTCATGCATATTTTTAACTAGTCTACTATAAATCATCCAATCTGTAGCTTTTGTTCTTCTCACTACTCCGCTTGCAATTCTTTTGGCTTCCTTTTCTTCATTATTTTTTCAAAGAAGTTGGGTGTTAAAATCCCATGAATAATATATCTTATAATATTATTTTCTTACATTCTTCAGAACATGTTCCTTTTCCATAATAGTTTTTATGTTTTCTTACACTACCACATAATCTTCTTTCCTTGATACAATTTATTTTTTATGCTCTTCTATTATCTCTTTAGCAATATTCTTAATTCAACTGGCTACTTTATCCCACATAAAGCTTGATTCAACTTTTACTTATAATTTACTTTTTTTGATGGTACTAATCCTTCTACTCTCTTGTCTTTGGGCTTTAACCATTTTAATTTTTTTTCCTTTTATGTCATAGGTGTACATCTTCAGTTGCTTTGTTTTTTTGTTGTTTTGTAAGCATTTTCCTTGTATGATTACAATATTTGCACTTGGTTTTTCTTACCTTTTTTAATAAATAGTTTTTTTTTTATTATAGTTGAGTAGATTTATGTTTACAAGTAATTAACTAATTCTATTATTTTCTTAAATTGCATGATCGCAATTGAAAAAAAAATGGTCGCTATTTGTGAGATCATACTCCAATGTAGAATCTATCTTAACTTTTCTAATTATGTTTTTATATTTTATCATATACTCATCATGGACCATCTCGAAATTCATCCTATTGTCACCTAAATATGTGTTCACAAATAATTATCCTCCTATTTTTGAGTTTTTCTAACAGTGCATCTATCTTTTCTCAAAATTAATATTGCAGGCTTTCCTCTAAATGAGCTGAATGTGCATAAATATTAACTAAATTCAGTATTCTCACTGTAATTAGCTTATTATTAACCGCACTAAAATTTTGGCATAAGCGTTGACATTAGTTTTATGCGCTTGTGTTACTGAACTAGTTACATGCAGCTCTTATGCATACATGAGCCCTTTTCCTTTCCTCTTTCTTTATGATATATGATTCAAATATAGGAAAATTTTTTCTTGTAAATCAGTTGCAGCGTTCGCGGTATTAAATCCAACAAAGTTTAATGTATTTATATTTTTTTTGACTTGTATCCCCTTCTCCATAAAATATGCAGGCAGACCTCCTCCTTTCTCATGGATATGAAGATGACTTGAAGAATCTTGTCCCTCATATTCCAAGGCGCTGCCAATGTCTTCTGATCTCTGCCACATCAAGGTTTGTTTTTAATTTTATTTCTAGTTCTATATGTTTTAAAAGTAACTAATTATTCTAATTGATGCTAATGTACAAATAAATTTAGACACATGCATATTCTTCTTTGTGTTTTATCATATTTTTTTTGTACACATTTTGTGTTGTAAGCTAATTCTTTGATATCACATGCTTTTTTAGTGTTTATTGCTTGGTTCCTCATAAAGAAGTCATTCTTTTTTGTCATTGTAAAAAAAGTACACTTACTATTCAGGATTATTTTATTTTATTTTAATCCCGTACAATTTAATTGCTCATTTCTTTTTTGTCATTGGCAGCTCTGATGTTGATAAACTAAAAAAACTTGTGCTTCATAATCCAGTTGTTTTGACCCTGGCAGATGCAAATCACCCAACGAATGAAATTATCCCAAAAAATGTCCAACAGTTTTTGGTGAGAATCCCTGCTGTTTTTTTCAAGTGCAGAGTTGATTATTTTGGAGTCTTATCATTATGCGTGTGAGCAATGATATAGTCATGCAATAACGTCTCACCCTTTTTGTGTGCCAAATCATATTTTCTAAATGAGCTTCATCGATATCTAGGCCATATGTGCAAGCTTGATAATTTTTTTGAACTTATATTATTATATTAAAGTTATGAGACACATAAACAAGAACATATAAATATGTTTTGGTTACGCTATCATACATACATTTTTACGCATTTATGCATCAGATGAAGAATTTATGAGTATTTACACACATCATGGAAGCATTGTGCAAATATTTAGGATGTTCCTCCTGCCTTTCCGCTTGATCACTTTATAAGCATTTTAGGTAGACTATCTATTTTGTCTTGCACTCTTTCAAGATCTTATGCTTTAAGAATTATATTGTTATTTTTTTCTTTCAGATTTCTTGCAGTGCCAATGACAAGCTGCTTTATATGCTTGCGCTTTTGAAACTGGAACTTGTTCAGAAAAAGGTGTTGATATTTGTCAACTCTATTGATACAGGGTTCAGATTAAAATTATTTTTAGAGCAGGTATTGTGATATATTGTGATATTCAGTTAAATATTCATTTTTTAATGTTTTTGCATTTTTTTAGTTGATTTTAATCGTAAAATTTATCTTCTCATACTGAAATTTACAAGCTTTGGTCTATATTGACAGATGTTTTTTTAAAACATCTATTTAAAATGTAACGGTCAATTTATTTTCAGCAGTCTTAAGTATTGACATTTTTTGTATTTAATAGTTAATTTCCTTATACGTTTGACAATATTAACTTCAGAAATTATTGTTTATTCTTTCTTTCATGAACATTTGTCATTACTTATGAAATTATTGTCTACAAAATTTCAAAAGCATTGATACATATCAAACATTCCATTGATGATGGAAGCTTAATAAAGACCATTAACCCTATTTAACCTATTTATTTTCATATTGACGTAACTGCCCACAATCAATTGTTTAGGGCCATATTAGATGTTATGCTATTTTGTAGACTTTTTAATGAACCTTTCCTGTTAATTTTGGTTTACTCCTCACCTCCTTTATCCCTTCACATCCAATAGTCCGAGTTTTCTTCTTGCGAAGAGAGAAAATGAAGGAGAATGTAAGCAATGATGGAGTTGCGAAAGGAATGAGTAATTAGTGGAGAATGAATGAGAAATTATGAGTGATAAAATGGGTAATTGACATTTTAGGGATTTTTAATATTTTTTTATTAAACACTTGAATTCAAATAATTTTTACATATATTTTTTATTTTTTTTCTTAGACAAGCCAACTTAAACTAAAGAGATGATTCAAGGCTGGCTAATGCCATCACATTTAGCTTTTCAAACTATGTTCAAGTGTTGTTTATAAATTTGAGCTCAAGCCAGATTACTTAGTTGCATATCCATTCTTTTGTATGAAGTCCATGGTAATACATAGTAATTTTGGAATGAAAATATGTTAGGAAGGTAAGCCTTTTCATTTGTAAATGATAATAAATTTTTTTTAAATTTCTTTTTTGTGGTTTCAATAGTTGGATGGTATGTTCGGGTGGTTTAGTGCCGGTAGCATTAAGTTTTTTGGTTCAGAAGAGTTGATTCGTGTCATCTTAACTTGATTATGACATCTCTTTTTATCTACTTGGAGGTTGTTCTACTAACCTGGAATAGAGCATATTAGAAAGAAATCATGTATAATTTATTCTATGTAGATACTATTAAATCTATGATTTTTTTGGAAACTGTATGCTGCGTCAAATCATGTTGTGCTTAATCTATCACACTTATGTATTACTTGGTCTTGAGATAATATTGACTGACAATTGTTAATTTATTATTTATAAAAATTACAAATCATGCATTCATGTATTGTTCTACTAATATTAAGCCCATTACTTTCAAAAAAAAAATTTTATTATCATATATTGTTTTGAAATTAACTGGCCACTTTGCAGATACTAGGCACTATTGAATTAATTTGGATTTCATCATACAGTTTGCACACCCTTGTTCTTCATACTGCTAATAAAACTAGTTTATCTTGTACACCATTTCTTTTTCAAATCAATAAACTTCATCAGAAGATTCTTTTTATGCTATTTATGTTTTTTCTAGCTATTGCCTTAGTACACAAGACCCTGCATCATATATCTGCCATGAACACAAATTCACTATAATTTTGACGTGTTTCTTCTTTATGTTCCATCATTCTCTATCTTCACTTAATTGCATGACTTTTATGTTTGATTTCCCTATAGTTGCTATAATCATTTTTTGTTCTTAAAGGTTGCTCATCTCCAGTAATTTGCTCTCATATTTTTAGTATTAAAAAAAAAGGTCTGTTAAATTGACTGCTTCAATGTCTCCTTTAATTTTATTTGTATGCAGATGCTTTAAAACAAATTTAACTTTATCTTTTTAGATCAAACTATATTATATTTCATGATTCAGCCAGTTCTTGTGATTCCAGCTAACTCTTTGTCCTTATAGCACTTGTTAATAAAATTTAAAATTTGTTTTTTTAATTTTGTTTCATGAATGCTTATTATCCCAGTGAAACTTGGTTCTTTTAGTTAATTCCAGCATATAGAGTAAAATAGCTAAACTTGAAACCTTCGTCCAAGTTAGAATGGGCAATTCCTAAACTGAAAGAACGTCCTATTGGGGAACAACATAATCTTTGCTTTTCATTCTTGTACCTTCCTGTAAATTGCTCATCGGCATATTAACATCATTGGGGCATATCAAGCAGATGCATTTAACAACGCGGAAGGTTTATTTTCTCATATGATACCTTCTCAGCCTTTGTATCATTTAAAAATTCATTAGCTGATCATGAAGTATTTTTTCCTACCTTTTTTTTTCCTACCTTTTTTTTTGATATTGGATTTTCCTCTAGCTATTGAATACATATTGTTCATGTTAAATTTGGATTCTGCGGTTTTTTTAGAAACTCTTTAATAATCCCAATTTACTTAACTTTTTATTCATATTCACTATTGTTACGGTTACTTCTTTTCATACCTAGCTAATTTTATTGTCAGCTATCGGCAGAAATTTATCCAACCAATTTAGTTACTATGACCGTAGTTTGATTGAATATATGCAACAATTTATGAGGTTATAATCACTAATGCACATCGACATTTAAGCATTATACCACCTGCTTGTGTTTGTCATTGTACAGCACTGGAATAGCTTCTGTTAAATGTCTTGCTGTTTCATATCTTTAACTTGATTTATTAATTTTTGAGACAGTTTGGAATAAGGTCTGCTGTCCTAAATGCCGAACTGCCGCATAATTCTCGTTCTCACATACTTGAGGTCTGTTATTTTCTCTCCGTTTTTGCATTCTCTTTGAGCCTCCCCTGTCAGTATGTATTCTATTTCCATTTACAACTTACCGATTCCTGATTTTTTTCTCATCTATTGCCTTCTTTAGGAGTTTAATGCAGGTCTATTTGATTATCTAATTGCGACTGATGAAAATAAGGAGAGAGATCAAAATAGCGCAGACAAACACAAACAGACCAAAACCAAAGGCTCTAAAAAACATTTCAAGCAGAAGTTGGACGCTGAATTTGGGGTTGTCAGAGGAATCGACTTCAAAAATGTATTTACGGTATGATTATTTGATACTCTTATCCTATTCCTTTATGCTTTTTTGTAGTATCCACTTTGCATTTTAACCACATTAAAATGAATGATAAATGATCTGCAGGTGATTAACTTTGATATGCCTCAAAGTTGTGAAGGTTATGTACATAGGGTCGGGCGGACTGGAAGAGCATTTAACAGCGGTGCATCCATTTCTCTTGTAAGCACAATGGCGACCCATTTAGAAGCAAGAGTATGATTAATGATAAAAGAATAAATAGTTTTTACGAAATTATTCTCACTGATGAATATACTAACTTATTTATTTCCTTATTTCATCATTAACTTGCTGCTTTTCTAAAATTAATTTTAGTCTTCTGATTTAAAATTTCAATTCGGATTATTAATTCTAATCCTATGACAATATGTCTTGGGCATTCATAATCTCTTCTATTGCAACAAAAATTCTTATATTAATCTACTCAACTTTTGACAGGTTACCCCTGAGGAGGATAAAATTATTGAGAAAGTTAAGCTAACATTAGGTGAAAGTGGAGACAAGGATATCTTAAGCTATATTACACCTTTTCCTTTACTCACAACAAATGCTGTTGAATCTCTACGATACAGAGCTGAGGTAATATACACTAATTTTAATTGGCTAGCTGATGCTTTGCTTTTTTTATTTTTTTTATTTTTGAAAGCTGATGCTTTGCTATTTAGTATACTCTTAACTACCAGGATTATTCTTTTCATTTATTATTATTTTTTTGTCGCTTGAACACAATAAATAAGCGATCTTGGGCTTCTTTCCTGAAAATGTTCAGAATGGATATGCATGGGTGTGTAAATGTCTCTGTTTGACAGCTCAACTGGATACCTAGACATTTGGTATCTATAAAATTATGATTATCCCCATGTTGATTGAACTTAAATTCATTTAATTGTTGGCTCGTTGATCTCAGTAATTGATTCAGCAATTTTTTTAAATAATTCCATTTGATGAAGCTTAGAGTTTGTCTGTCTATGGATCATTGGAATTGATGTATTATGTTTTATTTTTTCTTATTTTATTTATTATTATGTCTTTCATTTCATATTTTTTTTTATCATTTTAAATTTTAATACATTGTTGTTATTGATTTGAGGAATGTAATGGATGTGCTACCTTTTCAGGATGTTGTCAAAAGTGTGACAAGATTTGCAGTTAGAGAATCACGCGCTCAAGATTTAAGAAACGAAATCTTGAATTCAGAAAAGTAAGTTACTTCCCAAAATTATTTATTCTGGAACTGATGTCTGCAATGCAAGAAAATAAATTTTATAAACTAATGCTATTTTGCTCACCATCTATCAGGTTGAAGGCACATTTTGAAGAGAATCCCAGGGACTTGGGTACTGTTGCTTTATTTTCTTTTCCGCTTTCCAAAGACTCTGAAATTACTGTCTTCTAATTTTTCAATTTTGGTTAAATTGTAGATTTATTGAAGCATGACAAGTTATTGAGTAAGAATGCTCCCCCAGCTCATCTTCGTGATGTCCCTGAATACCTCCTTGATCCAGCGACTCAAGAAGCAAGCAAGACGGTTAAGCTTTCTAGAGCTGCAATGGGAATAGATAACCGTAAGAGGCACACTGCTTTCAATAAAGGATTCCGAAAGAGTAAAGACCCACTCAAATCGTTCACTGCTGAGGTAGGTGATTGTAATCTTCATTTTCCAGTCTGAAATGCTCCTCATAAGGAATCTAGGCATACTAAGAGGAGAGGAGTTTGAATTATGTGTGCAACCAACATCTAAAATTTCTTTTGAAACTTTCTAAGTCAATGGTACAATGTGCACAATGAATAATTTACAAGATAAAGAAATATGCACTGATTAATTTGGATTTTCATTATTTATATTAGTGGGTGATCAAGCTCTAAGCATAGTAAAGTGGTAACAGATTTAAGTCGGATTTAATTAGATCCTGTTCGGTATAAAAAATGGTAACTTTTAAAACCTGGATTTAATAAATCTAGTTTCTCCTCAATTTCTCCTTGTTTTAGCCTTAAATCTTAGATTTCTAAATCCTAGTGTTGAAAGAACCCAGATTTAGAGTATTTACTAAATCCTGTATAAAACAGCCCCCAAAGCGTACTATTCGAAGATTGCTATACAATACAAACATAGAAAAATATTAATATCTATTGATAGACATGACTTTGTCAGTTTATTGTTGAGGTTTAATGCTAAAAATATTATGCGTGAGATGCATAGAAAAGGTGAGATCCATACAATCTACACATGTGCATTTATCATAAAACATTTAAGTGAATAATGAATAAAAATGCAAATTAATCTTAAACTTATAAATATAGATGGAAGTCTCTCATAAAGATTTTAAACTATCACCAACATTTTAGATCATTGGGAGATTTAAATAAAGAGATGAAAGTTGAGGATATATGAGATTTAGAATCGATAGAACATAATATATGATTTTGCATAGTAATGTTTGGGGGCATTGACATCCTCACCACCCAATTTCTATGTATTTACATATCTAACACTGAAAAAATTGTTTATTTACATTTATGCCACCTAAGTTTTTCATATCACATAAAAAACACTGCATTCCAAACTTTTGAAAAGTGAACTTCACCTCATGCATAGGAAAGGTTGTATATCTGTAAAAATTGAAGTTTGGGTGTTATGTAATTTTTCTAAGCTTATATTATATCGCTTTTGATCATTGCTTCGTTCTATAACTTTTAAATTTGAAATCGCCGTATAGCTAACACAATCTTGAATATCTCCTTTGTTATTTTTCCATAATGCTATTTTTAAAATTTAATATTTTCTTTAGTATTCATAATTTCATTGTCAAGATATATTGAATAAGTCAATATAATATTCCCTATAACCGGCCAAATCTCGATAGATAACTCAAATCTAAATCCTATTCTTTTGCTTCTTCAAGGCTAACTCTATTATATATAAATAAATATATATATATATATATATATATATACATACATCATAAAACTGTGGCATTTGTTTTGTTTACTTAACTGTTTTCCTATTCTTTTGCATTTCTTTTATAGTATATGTTAGTTATCATAAAGATCGTAAGTTACTAAGAAAGTAAGTATAATCCTTGAAAGAGAGAGTAGAGGAGGGGTTTTAAGGGATTTTTAAGTAGTATGTTTCCATGGTGTTTGTTTGAAGGTAATGCATGTTTTGTGGGATCTCTCATGGTTTAGTCAGGTTGACCAAGATATCCTTTCAATGCTTTGGTTGAGACACACTAGTGGAGAGGGAAACATCACTCATAACAAAATTGATACTTTTAATCATAGAGATTGGCAAGATTCTTGAAAATAATGTTATATTCTGTTTGTTCGGCTGTAATTTTTGCAGGGAAGAAGATCTCATAAATTAAACAAGAGAGAGAATGACAATGAAGACCGCAACAGCAGAAAAAGGAAAAGGAAGGGCTTGGTGTCTTCATAGGATTTTTTCATTTATTCTTTCTTTTCTGTATTTGTGGTACAAGTATTGATCCAAGTTATGAGCAAAAATTGTGTTGAGCAATTTTGGTTGGTTTATGTTTTGTTCACAGCCATTGTTTTGTGCACATCACGTGCAGATGCATTGTTAGAGTGAAAACAAACAGTAAAGATTACAAAATATATCCCTTGTTTTGGTGTAACTCTTCTTATTCTCAAAATTATAGGTTTTGTATTGCTGTTTTATCTTTTGGGAATATTGCAAGTTTAGAAATGGTTTTCTCTTATAAAATGATTCCCCTATATATAGAGAAATGTGTGCAATATGTTGATATCACATTTTTGTCCTCATTTTAAGTATTTCTAGTATTTTACATTATGAGTTTGTTGTCCAGACACTTTTTGGCTCAGTTTGCTAAGCTTAATTGGCTTCAGGTCGCAAGGCCAGTTCTGTCGGTTGAACTCAATTGGTATGGATCAGCTCGGTCGTTTGAAGTTGGTCGGTATGGATCAATGGCTATGGTTGGCTGATACGACCTGACCGTCGATCCTTGGCCCTTGATGAGGAGTCTCTGGGCATCCCTAGAATGGTGAGAGAAGCTAGGGATCAGTTCTCCTGTGGCGCTTGTCCCGGTTATGGTTGAGTGACTCATCTTAGATCATTCTATCGTCTTTGGTCCGTCCCATGGATTGATCGGTTTCGGTCTTGCTGGCTTTGCTTGAATAGCTTCACTTAATTGGATAAGTGGGCTTCATGATTTTCTGTCTTTCGCCCATCTTCGCCATATTCTTCCTTTTTGGATTGTTAAATTTTCTCAAGATTCTCGCTAATATATTTTTTATGTACGGTAACAATATGAATAACATTGAACATATTTAATTTTATATTTTCCTTCTCATGAACTTTGAAGAAATCATAATTGTTTAGCCATCCAATCTCTAATCATATTTGTTAATTTAGTTTAAGAAAATTATTTTATAAAAGCCTAAATTAATTATTTATTTATTAAGTTGAACAATTCACAAAATTTTGAAGGATGGCGGCACCTCGAAAGTTTAATCCCTTGCGTACCTTACCTGAATGGGCTCTGAGATTCTCGATTCAGGGTTTGCATTCCCTACTCGTTTTCTACTATGCCCCTGCTTTCACAACTACTCTAATGCGGTTTTTCGCCGGATTGCCGCCTACGCGTGTCTCCGACCGACGGAGCTTCTCTATCATCGTCGCAGCATTGTGTAGAGGTCAGTTGTTAAAAATCTCTCTCTGGCTCATCTTTATCATCTCTATGTATATTTGCCCAGCCTGATTGGATATCCCACCACCCTTTTCATGCTGGGGTTCTCACTAAATTTGGCAATAGTAGAGCAGACCAGGCTCTGATGATTATGATGGCTAGCATTGGGTTGTCAAGTTGATCTGTGAAAACAAGCGTTTTGATGAGATGGTCTTTACGTTGAGCAGATGAAGAATGCCGTAAAGATAAATGTCCGGAGAAATTTGTGAAGCTCAATAAGCAGCTTGAGAAGGTCTCCCGTGCATAATAACAACATGAAAATAACTTAGGAACAACAATAGACAAGTAGATAACCTTTACCTTGACCGAGGATGAATGAATAACGAAATAAACGAACAGTGAATGAAATCAGATCAATATAAATATTGGATAACACAACTTGTTCTATGTAATAATCATTGTCATAGGTATGCTACACCAAAATAAACTAATGTAAAATCAAATAGATGAAATGAAAAACATCTAAGTGAAACCCAAGTAGAAATATTGCTTTGATGATCGAATTGCTGTGTTTTTAATATTAGATATTAAATTTTCAACGCCAAGTTTTTTAGAGTGCATATTCAAGCTAAGCTGGCATATTTTGCTATCTTGCTATGTTGGTAGAGTGCTTGGCTAGATTTTGCAAGTGCATTATCATGGCATAAAGAGTTAAGGTTGATCAATGTTTTTAAAGGCGTGTTTGGCATTTCTTTGGGCATTGTAAGGAAATTAGAGGTTATGATACCTGGCACTACTAATACATCAAATGCTAAAGATGAGATAATTTTTATTGGTGACAACTTGATATTCAAATGCTAATTAAGACTTGAGTAACGACCATGCTCCCTTGGAATTCAGGTGATTAACTGTTGGTATAATAATTGAAGTTCTACGTCAATAAATATGATGATGATACATACCTCCAAAAAACTAATGAGATGGATGTCCATAAATTCAATGATAGATAAGAAAGCATGGATGATGAGAAGATGGATTAGTTAATAAAGAAGATCGGATTACCCTCAGGTTTACTGTTTACGTGCCACAAACTTATTACGTCTATGCATTACTTTTTAAAATAATTTGTTTAGCAAGCCTTTTGATCCTGTAATGCAGTGAACCTTGAAAGTTTATCTTGTCTAACATACTATAATATGACGATTATCATTTCCTATACTTCTACACTATTTCTTATAATTATATAAAACTATAATTTGGATATAATTATTTATTTATTGGCGCCCCACTTTGCTCAAGCAAGTGGCTAGAGTGGTGCCAAGTGCCTCATATAATGGGATTGAACTTTACACGATTGAAAATACTGTATCAATATTGTTGCAGAGGCACATATTTTGTATTGCATATAACAATTGTTGCTTGTAAGGTATAATTGAGTGAGATATCAATATTCTCTTAGAGTTTGGTTTGATTACTTTGATTTTTCTATAATTTAATGAAGTTTCCTGTCTTTATATCATGCTGAGCACAATATATACCTTTCGAAGAGATTTGATGTTTGTTTTAGCTCGGTTGATTTTATTTATTTTTATTGGTTTAAATAAATATATCATCTAATTTGAATTTTCTTATTATTTTATCAAAAGCTTAAAATAAGTAGTTTTGTTTTCTAATTTCCTTACTATTTTAGTTTTGTTTTCTTAGTATTTTGTCCAACTTCAATAAATAGCAGTGATTGATTTGAATCTAGAAGGTTAATGATCTATTTGATTATTAAGTTACCAACCCTGCAGGAATATATAAATTTGGTTCTTGAAATTTGAAGTGAACATCACTAGAATTAATTTTCTTAGATGACGATATTTTCATATTTTTTAATGAATGTTTTTAAAATATGATCGATTTTAGTGATCCTAATATATTTAATAACAATATATATATATATATATATATATATATACATACATACATATATATATATATATATATACATAGATGTATATATGTATATATACATCTATACATATATATATATATATAGATGCATGTATGTATGTATCTATATGTATGTATGTATGTATGTATGTATGTATCTATGTATGTATGTATGTATGTATATGTATGTATGTATGTATGTATGTATGTATGTATGTATGTATGTATGTATGTATGTATGTATCTATGTATGTATGTATGTATGTATGTATGTATGTATGTATGTATGTATGTATGTATGTATGTATGTATGTATCTATGTATGTATGTATGTATGTATATGTATGTATGTATGTATGTATGTATGTATGTATGTATGTATGTATGTATGTATGTATGTATGTATGTATGTATGTATGTATGTATGTATGTATGTATGTATGTATGTATGTATGTATGTATGTATGTATGTATGTATGTATGTATGTATGTATGTAT